AACACACCACACCAGAAGTTGCTTTGCCTCAGCGTAGGTTTGGGGTTCTTTTTCTTTGTCAATGAAAACCAAAAAGGAAATATAAAGGAGATATTTTGTCATAAGAAAGAAACTGAGATATTTCATGAATGGTAAAAGATCTCACTGAATGACAGTAGTAATCTTGAAGATAAGTAGGTGTTTTAGTTCTCCTATGGGATGTTTGAATAGAAGATTCAAGGACATCTTGTGTAGGTCCAACAGAAGGTTGAGACTCTACAGAAGTAGAAGATGGAGATTCATCATCACCGAGAAGTTGAGGAACCACATGAGTGTGTTGAATATGCTCATTAAAGAAATGTTGATCATCTTGTGACAAAGTAGATCCAACAAAAGGAAAGAGCTCTTCATGAAAGACAACGTGTCTTGAGACAATGATAGAGTTGGATTCAACGTCTAAGAATTTATAATCTTTGTATCCGTTGGGATAACCAAGGAAGTTACAAGCACGAGCTCAAGGATCGAATTTATGTATGTTCTTGGGTGAAGTGGATGCGTAACAAAGACAACCAAAAACTTTAAGTTGGGAATAGTCGGGGATTTTCTCTGATAGCACTTCATAGGGAGATTTATCATGAAGAATAGGAGCAGGAATGCGATTAATGAGGTGAACCGCAGTGATAATGAGATTGAAAGAATAGAGAATGAGCGATAATTAGGATGTGTTGTTGTTTTCGCTCCACAACGGAGTTTTGTTATGGAGTTTCATAACAAGAATGAAATGGCAGAATGCCTTTAGCTTGATAGAAAGAAGTGAAGTTCAATTCTAGAACTCTAACCCTCTTAATCTTCCTATCAAACTGAGTTTCAATCATATTGACAAAAGAAGGGAAGACTTGTAAGACATCAGACTTGTGTCTAAGAAGATATACCCAAGTGACCCAATAACAATCATCAACAATGGTTAAGAAAAACTTGAAACCATCATGAGTAGAAGGGACCTCAAGTATCAATTTGTAACAAGTCAAAAGGGTTTTCACTCAACTGATTATGAGAAATAGACAGGAGGTGTTTTTGTTTAGAAAAATGACAGACTTTATAATGATGATCTGTATCTAGCATATTCTTAGGTAAAGACAACAAAGACTGCATAGGTTGTAATTTTGAAACAGAAGGTGACCTAAACGTTTATGCCACAATTCAGGGCTAGAGACAGAAGCGGCAACAACAGAAAACGTGGTACCTTGACAATAAAAGAGACCCAATGTCCAAGAAGTAGAGGTTAGCCACTTGTCTACCCGTTCCAATCATTAATCGCTGTGTAACATCATGAATACCACAAGAAGATTTTTCAAACAAGACACGACAACTCATATTATTTGTCAATGTGCTAGCACTAAGAAGATTGAACTTGAATTGAGAAATGTAAAGAACATCATGAAGAATTAGATCACTATCCAAAGTTATTGATCCTATTCCAATAATGCTCACAGCAAAAACCATTTGGAAGATTGATAGTAGTATCAAGAAGAGGTTTAAAAGAAGTGAAAAAAATTGCATGAGAAATATGATTTTATAGCTCCTGAATCTATCACCCAAGCGTTAATGGCAGGAAAGCTACCATTGAGAGAACATACATAAGGCGTATCAATTCCGGTAAAAGAACAATGGATAGAGGGGAAAACGTTACCGGATATTAGGCAAACGGCTGAAGAAGAAGGATTAGAAGACACTGAGACAGAGTGAACCTCTGGTGTAGGAGTGGATTGTGGAGTTAAAGCTTGCTGCTGAGGAAAAAAACCAGTTGTTGTAACTGTGAAGTGGAGAGTTCATCAACAGAAACACTACTGTCCAGAAAAACAGAATCAACAGCAATGTTTGCTACAATCAAAGTGGATTTGTTAGATTGCTGATTCGGCTTACAGCTTGTGGGATACCCATCCATCTTGTAGCACTTATCAACTACATGACCAACTTTCCCACAGAACGTACAGTAAGGTCGTTCCTTCTTCTGAGAGGATTAGCATTCAACAATCTGAGTACATGTAGACTGACCCTGATCATTGGACTGAGAGACTTGGAAGGCTGCAGAGGTGAGATCCGGTTGTAGAGACGCTCGAGCAGACTTTTGACTATCCTCTTGGTCTAAGAAATTGTAAACTTCAGAAAGTGACGGAAGAATCTTCTTCGTCAGGATATGACTACAAATGCTCTCATAATTTTCATTGAGTCCCATAAGGAAGTCGATGACACGATTTGTCTCCCTTTCAGCAAGCAGATCCTCAACAGTATGTGGTGTGAGTTGAATACTAGAGAGTTCCTCCGAGAGAGCTTGAGTATGTGTATGATAAGAAGAGAGATCAAGACTGTCTTGACGAAAGAAGTGAATATGATGATGCAACTTGTATAGATGAGGAAGTTTTGATTTGTGAAAGTGAGTATGGAGATCTTTCCGTATATCAGAGACATTCTTGAAGTAGAGAATGCTGGTATAGATCTTTTGAGAAACACTATTCAGCAACCACGACTTGACCATATTACTGCAATGATACCAAATCTTGTAGTGGGGATGAGATTCATCAGGTAGAGTAACAGATCGATCGAGAAAACCTAGCTTATTCCTTAGCTTCTAGACTCGTAGTCATAGCAATGATCCAAATGCTGAAATTATTGCCATCGAGTAGTTCCGAGACTAAGACTAAACCAGGATGATCACTACTATGCAAATGATACAGAGAATGTATGTTATCTGGGGAATCTGATACCTCGAAGTGATCGCGAGATTGAATAGACAGAGATCGGTGAACTGTGTTGACATTGACACGATCTGGAGCTCCTGAAGTACGATTAATGAATCCATAAAGATCACGAGACGGATGACATATAGCCAGATTCGGAGACAATTCGTTGAATCAGAGACGATGCTGCATCAGATTCAGGTGAGCCTGGTGTACAACGGCGGTATTTTGACTTGCAGTTACGTTTTCCAATTGAAGCTCAAAATCAACCTTGGCAAAAGAAAATTGGTTGAAATTTCACAGGGAGAAAGAGGAGATGAAGCTTGTCGAAGGACCAAAAATAGAGAAGATGAAGAAATCCCACCAAAAACCTGCAAAATTCCAATGAAATGGATCGAGATAAACAAGAAGCGGAAGGTTGTTAGGGTTGAAACGAGTTAAATTTGATATGATACCATATTAGGGAAACAAGCTCATTTCATTAATTGATTAATATTTACAATGTGGGTTTATATATAGAAATGAAAAGTCTAAACTAGAACCACAAAATTGATCTAAACTGATTTATACTTGTACGAGCTCGCTATATACAATAGAAACGTTAATACAGATAAAAGATACTAAACTAAACCATATACCAACAAGTCAAAAGAATATCTTAAATCTGAACTCAACCACAAGAAATAGAAGAGATATAAATTTAAGTAAATAACATACCTTTAAATATATTTTATTCAAGATGAGATACAAATCAATCTACTAAATATCACAAATAACAGCACAGGTTAGAGAAAACAACATACAGAAAAAATATGAAATTAAGCCACATATTGATATACTTTAATTATATCAAAAATTTAAATTCAACGACAAAAATACCAAAGATAAATTAAATTAAAAAACATACCATAACAAACATTTTAAGTGAAAAATTATTCACTATAAGAAGAAAAAAATAGCACGATAAAATCAAACTTAAATTAATAACGATCTACACTTACAGATTACAGATTATTAGTTGCATAAAGATAAAGAGAAAGAACCACCGAAAGAAAAACAGAGAAACAATCTACATGAGTACTAAAAATTTTAAAATATGAAATAACCGAAAATAGCAAGCACAAAAAATTAGGGTTAATCAAATACAAAAAAAAAATTACTTAGCTGTCAACCAGCCATGCATCAACAATAACCAATAATATGGTTTATATTTTCTAAATATGGTATTATCACAAAAAATAACTAGATTTAATATAAGTAAATAATTAATAAGTTTTATTAAGGGTAAAAAAGTAAAAAAATTGATGAGAATGAATGTGAAAACGACATGTAGGATTCATATTTCACAAATAATAGTATAATAATAGTTAATAAGTTTCATCAAGAGTAAAAAAATATAAAATAAAAATTGTTGAGAATCAATGTGGGAGGGACACCTAAGATTCACACTTCGCAGCTGTGAAGTCTATTTTAGGACATGGAAATGCTGCAGAAACGGGGAGCATAGTAGACTAAATAAAGAAAATGACAAGAATGGCTGCTTCCACGGAAAGCACGCTATGAAAACCATCAACATGGGTTGTTTTGATCTGGCATCTTCTTCTATTTATCGATTGAGAGATTGTTCGTTGCTTTTTTGCATCCTGAGGGAAAACGAGTGATCAAGACCAACAACACAGGAGGAGAATCCGTCGCAGGAGATGCCAATTTCCTCCTCGTCGGAGGTTTGGTAATCACACGTTTCCTCAGTCTTGTCATTTCAGGTATGTTGGTTAATTCTTCATTTAAGAATTTATTTCTTTGGTAGTTTTTATTTTGGATGACAACAAGAATTTAAGTTTCTTGAGAATCCAGCTTCTAAGTTCTCGTTTGGTTTAAGAGATATTGAAGAGAACGTAAGTCAAGTGTTACATTATCGTCTTATCTTGAGTTATAAGCATATTTAAAAATTCATTGCAAATTCTCAAGATCTTCGATAGCATCCTAAATTGAACAACCAGCCTCTCTTGTTCAATATCGTTTCAAACCACTATTATGATTATATTATAATTTAAATAATCATATCTTTCCATAATAGATTTAAGTCAAAGGAAAATCCTACCTCTTGAAATATTCAAAAGTTGTCTATACTTCATGAATTATGAGTAAAAAATTTGGAAGTTTTAATCTATTAGGAGAAAAGACTAATTAACAGTCATTGTTTGCCATTTTTTTTATTGATGAGTCATATGACTAAAACACATATTGATTTGTTTTGTTTTGCTTAGACCTGGGTTTTGAAAAATGGAAGACTCAAGCAGGATATCAAACACAGAAAATACTGGATTCATTGGAAGACAATCAATGGTTCCTAAACAAAACCTGAAAAATAGTATTTCTTTTTCTAGTAATATGCACCACCATAGTGCTTCTTTAAGTAATCTTCTCATAGAGGAGCAACCAGCTTGGCTCGATGACCTCCTAAGTGAACCAGCATCACCTAAGATGAACAAGGGTCATAGGCGTTCAGCTAGTGACACTTCTGCTTATTTAAACTCAGCATTAGTGCCTTTTAAGGAAGATGATCTTATGACAAGTCATTTTCCTAGTCCTTCTTGGCTGTTTCAGAACATCAACCACCACGATGATTTGTGGCAGCCTAACTCTTATGAAAAACACAGTAACTTGGGATGGGAACTTTCTAACAAAAATGGAACTAATCTCCAAACACATGTGTCATGGGGAGCTGTAAATAGAGTAGGTACCTCAGCGTTTAACTCAGCTGAAAAACATGTAAGCAAAATGAAAGAAGGAGGTTCTGCAAAACCCGATGTTCCTGGATCAAAGACTGACTCAAAGCGTATCAAACAGTAAGGGTTCTTATTCTTGTTCTGCATGATATATAATGGTTAATTAGATCCTCATTATCAAAATAGACATCTTTTTCATTTTCCATAAATCTTACTTTTTTAATGCGGATTAAGCATCAACAAAAACTTTGGATCGGTTCAAACATTGGCTTGCACTACTCACATCACCTAGTCCACATGGTTTATATACTTCTTCAATTATATCATTTCGTATCTAAAATTACTAAAAATGCAGTCAAAATGCTCATCGAGCACGTCTGAGGAGGCTTGAGTACATATCAGATTTGGAAAGGACAATCCAAGTGCTACAAGTAAGATTTAAAACGCATGCACTACTTAAAGTTCTACATTTTCATTAATTATGTAAAACACTAATTGTATAGTTCTACATCATGATGGAATTTTCTTCAACAGGCTCAAGGATGTGAAATGTCATCTGCCATTCACTACTTGGATCAGCAGCTGGTCATGCTTAGTATGGAAAATAGAGCTTTAAAACAACGTTTGGATAGTTTAGCAGAAATCCAAAAGCTTAAGCATGGTACTAATCTTTTATCGAGTAATAAAAAATTCCAAAATATGTATCTGTTATTTTGGTTATGATTTTGCATTTTTTTTCCTGGTTTATACAGTCGAGCAACAATTCCTAGAGAGAGAGATAGGAAACTTAAAGTTTCGACAACACCAGCAACAACCACAACAAAATCAGAAACAAATGCAGCAGAACCAATACAACAAATATCTACCATCAGCCACGCAAGAACCTGAATCCCAGTTTGCAGCCTTGGCAATATGATTTAGGAAAATCTGGATTCGTTACCAGTATAAAAATTCCACAGTATGTTCTATAAGAACTTTTATTTCTATTTTGTTAATGTCTATATAAGATAGGTAAGTCCAGTGATATTTGCAGTCTTGAATAAATTTATGAACAAAACATAATAATGTATATCATAATGTGGATGTTCACATTCTTCTCTTTTACATTTCTTTAATTAAGATTTGTTGGAGAATCTACTACCAAGAAGCAACTTATTTATGTTGTAATATATATAATATATTGAGTTTTCCTAGCCATAACACCTAGTAATTGAGGGTCTCTGATGGCATAACAAATGTCGTAAACAATGACACAATGAAGATATGAGTATAATGATAGCTTAATTGTGTGAGTGAAAATACTAAAAATCTCTAAATTACAATGTAAGCAGTTAAAGAAAATTATTGGCTACCATTCTAAGAAAGATTTGGCTTACATCCTTTTTACTTGGTGTAAAAGAATGTTGTTTATTTGCAAAATGTGTGTCATGTACTCTTGAGAACTACCAGAGAGGGTAAAGTCAAATTCCAATAATTGTGTAAAGATTCATCCACTATATTGTGCCTTATATATCTTTAGTAAATTCTCATGACTTTTAAATAGTTTAGAGAAATAGAAATACTAATGAATGAGTACAAATAATCAGAAAATTAGTTGAGAACTGCTGTCGTTTTCTAAAAATGAGAAATTGCGTTTTTCCGCCAAAACCGAAAAATCTAGTTTTTCCATCAAAACCGAGTAATTACATTTTTCCGACAAAAATGAGAAACTGCATATTTCCTGCCAAAATCGAAAAATTTCATTTTTTCTGTCATAACCAAGAAATATCATTTTCTCGTCAAAACCGAAAAATCGCGTTTCCACCAAAATCGAAATTTTTTATTTTCCTGATAAAACTGAGAAATTGCATTTTTCCACTAAAACCGAAAAATTAAGTTTCCTATCAAAACCAATAAATTTAGGTTTTTACGTCAAACTCGAATAATTGCATTTTTTCTTGCCAAAACCGAGAAATCATATTTTTCACCAAAACAAAAAAAAATCGTTTTTCTATCAAAACTGAGAAATTGCATTTTTCCGTCAAAAAATAAATTTTTTTTCTCACAAAAACCGAGAAATCATATTTTCCAGTCAAAAATCAAAAAATTATTTTTCCATCAAAATCGAAAAATTACATTTTTTCTCCAAAACCAAATTTTTTTGTTTGTTGCCAAAATTGATTTTTTTTTTGTTTTCTCGTGAAAACTGATCCGTCATAATCAAAAACAATTATGATGACAAATCCATTTAAACGTAAATTTGTATTTTAATTTTTGAATTTATATCATATAATCTTTTTGTATATTTTCCCCTTTTCTAATTCAAATTTGTAAAGAAAAATCTATCTAAATGCAAATTTGGATTTTAATTTATATAATTACTAGATTTGGATCTGTGTATACACGGATTTATAATAACAAAATTTTAAATTAATAAAAATAATAATAAAAAATAGAAAACAAAATTAGATCACAGATGAAAAAATATATTAAAAACATAATGGATAAATTAAAATCTAATAATTATTTATTATAATCAGTTTTTAATTAAAATATTGAAAACACAGAATCTTTTGCGGGTCTCAAACAACATTATTCCTATCTCTTTTGTAGTTCAACAATTTACCAACTATTTTTTTTTCTGTTTTGCTGCCTTAAAAACTTTGGTATACAATTCAAATTCTTTGAATATGTTATCTCTCTTCTCATTAACTCTCCCCAAGCAAATAAAGTTTCTTTTTTTCTTTACATTCATCTCCCGTATATGATCTTTCTTGAGAAATTGGCTCATATAGCCATATAAACATCTATAATATGGAAAATAACCATACCAATATAGTGGCTATGATATTCCTTATATATTCTATAATATATACCAAAAAATCCTTAGATAAAAAATAGAGTGAAAATATTTGATGACGTTATCGGTAAATAAGTTATTACTGATATAACAGTTATTTAACTATTTTTCATATATTTTTCGACCACCTTCGCAATATTTCGGCAAAGCTATACTGTTCGTTTGAGAAATAGTATGTTTTTCAAAATAGTGTCATGAACTTGTACTACATAGTATCCATATACCAGTGTATTTAGAACATCCTTGACGCCACCTCTTGCCAACTACAGTCTTCACATCTGCACATGATGTGAGATTACATTATTCTGCCCGTCCCAAAAACGATAGTGCTGGACCACCTACATATGCCCTGTCAATTGGCGCCATTCATATCGGGTTACGGCAGGACGCACAGTTATGTCCTTGTTTACGGCATCTTGTGCATCGTCGCCCAATCTTCGAAACTGGATGCTGTCAAATATCAAATAGAAGTTGTATTAAGGCATGCCAAAGCTATACTATATACTTTTGTATGGTATAGTCTTGAACCGGGGTTGTCAAAGCTATACTATATACTTTTGTATGGTGGGAGTAGATCAGTTGAAAACCCCCCGCCAATTTCGCCTCCTCCAACAAATGGGATAGGGTAAATCTTCTCATCAAACCCGTGTGTCATGTGTCTATATAGTAAGCAGCTGCAATCATATTGTCCGTGTGAACCCCCACCCTAAGTGATATACTGACGTCACATACAAATATTAACAGTATCGATTCCCGGTTAAAATACAAGGACTGTAGTGTAATTTCTCTAGAGGTGATAGTTATTTTTCCAATTGTTTGAATATGGTAGCTATATTGTACGACTGTTTCACAAATATGGTCATATAGCAAATTAACCCATCTTTCTTCTTCTTAAAAGTTCTCCACATGAATTTCGCTGATCATCCTCCTCATTGAGCTCATCATCGTCAAATACCATATCATTAGCATATAGGATTTCCTTTTCTTGTAATCCGACATTAAAAATTTTGCATGTAATTTTTTAGAATTTTCTGATTAGTGAATACCAAAAACATTTTAGATGAATACAAAATCCAGCAACCCAATCATTAAGGATAAATGTTTGGAATGCCAAACGAATCATAACGGATAAACATTTGAATACCATATAAAGTATTTTAATAATAATACAATAAAAAAGGAAAATTATATCTATAAAATAAAGCTTAAGAAGTATTAGTTTGTTTGGTAAAAAATTATGAGATATTTTAAGTGTCTATATAATATTTTCCTTTTTCCTTTTTCTTTTAGAATTAGTATTTTATGTTATTTATTTTCTAAACTGAAATATATCATTTAATTTGTTTTTGCTTTTTTCATTTTAATCGAGATATGTGTCATAATCTGAATTATCGTCACATGTCGTGATCATGTGAAATACTAACTTTGATGCATCTAACTTTCTATATTAAGATATGAATTTATGTGAGTAAAATCAATTTATAAATATTTAAAATGATTAGTAAGAGATTAATTGGTTAATAAATATATTTTAGTTCAATGCTTTAAATTATTGACTAAAATAAAAAAATAAAAATATAATTAGATGAATGCATGAGTATTTTAGGCATTTGTTTTAGTAAAATTATCTAGAAAAAAATATAAACTAACAAAACAACATATTACATTTAAATGAATTTTTTAGATGAAGATAAAAAATTGAATAACATTAAATAAACATCATTTGCATAAAGTATGTGAATGAACCATCAATAAATGATCTAGATAAAGATGACAACTGATGAAATAAACAAGACCATAGTATAATGCTTGACACATCTGAAATCTTAACTATTATTTGAGAAATATGTTTAATGAAAAAATATGATGTGTCATCACTTTAACAAAAGTTATTGTAAATTAATGGTGACATGGAAATGTGACATAGAAAATTTCTTAAAATAAATGAAATATTTTAATTGGTTGAATTATAATTAAATAAATTATAAAATTATAACATAAATACACTAGATTTTCTTTTGGTCAAACTATACACTTGATTATAATACTAAAAATAATAAAATTAAATTAACAGAAAATAATAATTACTATAATGTTTTTACATATATTCATAGATTGCATAAAATATGATTACAAAAATGTTACAACCAATATATATTTTATATTTTTATATAAAAAAATAATAATAGATTATCCTATCTATTATATTAAACGTGAAGTCAGAAACGCACCACAGAGCTCCTTAGAGGGGTTAGTGCCTTCTGTCCCTGGTGGAAAAAAATCTAAAACCGATTAGTTTGTGTAAATTCGTTTTCGGTTAGCTTATATAAATTTCTGACCATTTTTCTTTAAATTTATGGGTTTTTTATGATTTTAGTTTGGCCCACAATATATACAAACCTTAGAGAAAGATGCAAGTGCAACCCTAAATTTTGGTCGCTATAAATACTTTGCACACCTCCAAATTTTTGGCATTGTCTTTTTAACTGAAATTTAGGTTTAGGATTTCTTCTATATAATTTTGCATGTCGGCTGTCGTGCTTGCATTGTTACTTTTGGTTTGGTTCGAAGCTTTGATATGTTTACTCGCTTTTTTATGTATTTAACTACTTGCTCTTCTGAATATAGTTTGGTGATTCCGACTAGAGCTGCGGTGGGGTGTGAGTTGATTGACATGCTATTGTGTAAGATCTATATCTTCTGTTTATTATTATACATAAAGACCATAATAAGTTTCTAAGCAATTGTGTTTTCCTAAATGTTTTCATTTGTTTAGGTTTCACTGAAGAGGCTCAATTTTGATGGTGGACCGTGTCTTTAATCCAGTTTATTTAAAGCTATAGCTTCTAGTAGTCCTCGGATTAATAGTTGTTACAGCGTCTCTTTTGATTTTATGGTGTTATATTAGTTATATTTTAAGCGTTGTAAAAGGTTTTTGGATAATATATTTTTTTTTTCAGGTATACAGTTTTGGTTTCCGAATAATGGAGATATTGGAGGTACCCATTATTTGTTTCTCCATGTTTTCTGGGTGTTCTTGATTCTATTCTATAAACTATATGTATATATTGGTTTTA